GCCCCCCCCCCAAGTTATGCAGAGACATTCCATTGGAGGTCACCCTCTGTCAAGAATGACTTTCCAACACCACCCTAAAATATGCAAACCAATACTAAGTAATATTAAGGACTCTGAGATCAGGGAGATGGGTTTCCAGGTCAAAGAATTTGACTTGAGACACTCTTCAGAACCTCATCAAGTTCTGATGGGGGGGGTGGCACCTTCCTACACCTTTCATTTCATTTGGCTTTTTTATGGCACTTCAAAAGTTGCCCAAACGTAATATTCTCTTTCCCGCCTCGCCTAGTGCACATTTGTGTTTGAATCAAATTAAATCTGAATAAAATCGTCACCAACTCCCTGCCTTTGCTCATCCTATCAAGCTGATCTTTTAAAACAACAACTCTTCCTCTAAGGAGCTTCCACCGCCCCTTCCCATTTATCTCAATCCGCTGGCAGAATCCTACAATTTTGTTTGCAGCAGCCTGCAATCAGGGGCAGGCCTTCTCCCGAGTTCTCCTAGAAAGCGTGAGTGCTTTTGTTGCCGTTTCCCGGCGAAAATGCTTATTTGTCCCTCTCGGGGCTGGCTCTGGGCCCTCGCCTCTCCCTTTGTTTTGCGGTGCGCCACCGGATCAACAACAAGCACAACATCCGGCCGATGCGAGGGACCGATCGCGTTTCAGCTTCTCGACTGTTCTAACAGCGCCTTTCCCCATAGCACCCATTTTCCTGCCGGCAGGAAAAAACAACCAACACGCATTCCGTGCAGGGCAGCACCGGCGGGTTGCAAACGCCTCTTTTTCTGATGGCATTTTGGGTGGGGAAGAAACAGGCATGCCTAAAACTACCCACAGCCTCTCGGATCTTAAACCCTATTTTTGGACAGCGCGTTAGTTACTGCGGAACGAAACTCAGCTGCTCTCTCCGCGTAACGTACGTACACACACACACACACACACGCAACGCCCACCCGACACAAGAGCGTGACTTGAAAGCGGGGAGACTAGGGGTGGATGCCACCCTTTGACCCTTCAGTCCTGCTAGATGCGGGGACGACAAGGCGATAGCAAAGGACCGAAATTGTTGTTTTTATTTATTATTCGTTGAATTTATATACCGCCCTTCGCCCGACGATCACAAGTGTGGTTTACAGTGCAAAGACACGAAATAGGAAAAACAATACCCTCCCACCCCTCTATAGGGGTAAAGCGGTTTTTAAATCGTATTGACAGCAAGCGCAACTTCGAAAGACTTCTGCTTGTCAGAGCTGCTAGAGCCTCGTCGGTGGGTCGGCAGATAGCCTCTCTCAGGGGATCTGCCAGCTGCTCCACATTCCTATCCCGGGGATCCTACAAGAGATCTGCATCTCCAGATCTCTTCATGCGGCCGCTCTCCCCTGGCCGTCATCTGCCTCGCTTTTGTTTTATTGCAATGGCACCCGATGCTCCGAGAAACAAGCGGGCAGCAGGCAAAGCCAGCAAGCAATCGTACCTCAGCGCTGGAGGAGGCTCCGTGCGGACTGCACCATGCTCCGTAGCTCCGCAGCCCCGCTCGCTTGGGACGCGAGTTTTTCGCCGCTCTCGCCTCCTGCTGCGGCTGTCAAGGGAAGAGCGGAGGAGAGCCCCGGCCTGCAAGCCCCAGCTCGGCCCCGGGGACTGGCGCCGGCGCCGGCCAATGGAACGCGCAGCTCCATTGTGACGTCGAACCCTGCACTCTGAACCGGTGAGGTAAGGCGAGGAGGCCGCGGCCAGCAGCTGCTCGGGGCTCCGGTGGAATTCTCTGGAGCGCGCTTGCCACGGGCGGCGCGTGGAGCCCCCTCCCGGCCCCACGCGGATGTGCGCTACGACTCCGGTACGCCGGCGGAACCCCTTGCGCAGCCGGGGAAGCCGCCCCCCTTTTGTGCGTGGAAACATCTCGCAGCATCTCAGGCTGCAACGCGTGCAGGACGCACTCTTACCTGGGAGTAAGGCTCGTCGAACTCGCTGGGGCTGACTTCAGAGTAGGCACGTCTAGGGTTACACTGTCAGGCAACCCTGGGTCTCAGGTTGCAGCTTTTCTCTCTGAACCTGATGCTCAGTGCTACATGGATTTCATTCCCACTAGTGTTCGGTTAATAATAATGATAATAATATATTATTAAAACCCTTCTGTACTAGTGCCACATTACCATCCCTCTCTGCATAAAGGGTAGCAGACTGTTAAGTATTTTATTTTTCTAAACAACAAAAATACCCATAAAAGGAAAAACAGATTTAACAGCAAAATAATATAAATACGACACAAGGAGCTTTCAATGATTAAGTCAAAAGATTAAAAACAAATCATGAGTAAATGAACTGGGTGCAATTGTGAAATTATAGAATTGTAAAATTATACATGATGTATAAAAACATAAGTTACCTCACACAACAAAGGAAATGGGGGGGGGTCCTTGCCTGTTTATAGACACCTGCAAGCACAAAGTTTTCCTTTTCCAAAGGAGAGGAAAGCAATATGTTTGGCACCAGCTTAGCTGCAGAGTTGCCAGGAGGAGGTGTACAAGACACCATCCAAGAGCCTTAGGGACTCTACTCCAGATTTGTGTAGGGTTTACCCCTTAGCCTTTTCTTCTCCCAAAGGTGTCCCACAGGGCAGCCTCATAAAGACAATTGCCCTAATATGGATGTTCCATGGGGGAGATGATAATTTCCAGATGTGTCTTACACTATAAATTTCTTGTTTTAGAAAGTAAGGACTTGTGTGAAATAGTGTGTGAGGGAAGTGAGGTGGGTAGTTGGCTGCAAGCTCTGCCAACATTAGCACAACATGGAGGCAGCAGGTCAGCTGAGAAAATACCAGAACATAGATTGTTGTTATAAACTGGTGGGTGGTAGCGGTAGCACAACTGAGACATGATGTAGCAATTTAGAACAGGCAGGGTGGATGGCAGAAGCCAGCTGCAGTGACTCAGCGTTAGGGGAATATTGCTGCTATTATAGAAGCTTGTCAGCCAGGTCCCCACCAGGATCCTAAAGCCTGAGACTCAAGAGGTGGGTCTTGGTAATGTCACAGGGTTACCTAGTCTTCAAAAACAACAATAAGAATCTGATGATTGGCTTGGGCCTGGGTGCATGGCCCCAGAATGAAAGGGTGGAATTTGGCAGCAAAGGAGCTAGAGATGTGACAGATCAGAAAAAGGGGGGCAAGCGAATAAGGAAACACTTTGTTTTGCAATGGGGGATGAAAGAGAGAGAATGGAAAACCTCTTATGAATGATGAGTAAGAGACCTTTTATAACACTATCCCTCAATTCCATATGCTTCTCAGCTAGTCCTGTGTGCTGTTTGTAACTGGTGGTGCTAGATACACAAATCACATGAGTAATAGTTACCACAGGCAAGCATTTGCCAGCTAGTTAACACACAAAGAAGAAACCACCCTGGCAGAAGGCCTTGATGCCAATTCCCCAGTGTGTGTTACTCACCCCCAGTGGATGGAAGCCACAAAAAGGAGTGCTTTCCTGGTGAACACCCAAAGTCATAAGGAATTACTGGATGCATGGGGAATTCCATGTTTTTACAGTAATCCAGAAAAATTGGTGAATCAAATCAATAGGACAGTGTCAGGGTAGAGGTTTAAATCATCCTGACCTGTTGTTTTGTTGTTGTTTTTTAAATTGCTTATGCTTAATGCTTAGCAATGCTAAATTGGTTTATATTTTTAAAATTTGCATATGCTAATAGGTTGTTGTCTTTTTGTGTGTGATAGAGAATAGTGGTCAATGTAGAGAGACTGTAACAGTGTCATTACCTGGCAAGTCTGCATATGTTTTTGCAAAGGGTAGAAACTTGTTTATTTTAAAAACAAATGAAATGGGGGGCGGGGGATGACAGGGTGTCTTAAGGTGCCATGGGAGGGACCAGAGTCTGCTCTTGGTGCCATGCTCCTAACTTTGTGGTGAGATCCCAACAGTTTATATATTTATAAAAGCAGTGCCCCATCACAGGACCTATGCAGTGGGATATTAATCCGTGTGGGTGTCCTACTTCTAAGAACTGCCTCCAGGTTCCTCACCCTACTAGCATACACCTTTTCCAGGTGCCATTATCTTCACTCAAGGGTATGATGCAGAGCAGGTGTTAACCACAACTCGTTCAACAGGTTGATCTTTTGCTGACATGATGCACCATCCATCTTGTATGTATCTGCTGGGACAGCCTTTCTCAGTGTCTGCAGGCAGTGATGGAAAGGTGACTGGCATCTCTACATGTGCAAAGCACCTGCCTTGCTACTGAATCTTTGTAACCTGCTCCCATGCATCTGGACCAGAGGGTGCGGCTTTCAGCTAGGCTTGAACATCTCCCTTCCTCACTAAGAACACTGAATAGTAAGTGAGCTGTAGGGTAGAAGGCTGCCCTTTCTTCAACAAGACAGGATTTTAGCTCTTCGTAATTTTACAAGCCAGTAATATGGTGGCAGGGGAAGAGGATAAATCCTAGAGATGATCCATTTATCAGGCAACCACAGCTGTTTGAAGCTCCTCCACTCTTTTCTGGTTTGACTGGTTTTCCTGAACAACGCACTTTCAGTTAGGCTGCACCCAGAAAGACCAAATTCTGACATCAGAATAAATTATTTGGCGCTGGTAGGATGCCTTAAAGTGGTCACTTGACAACATAATGACTGACTCAATTATTTGCTGAATTTGTACCCCACCCTTCATTCCCAAGGAGCCCAGGGCTCAAAGCTGGTCTGTGGGGGAAGTAAGGATCCATTCTACCAGCAAGATCTAATTCCCCATGCCTGAATTATGCAAATGAAGTGCACGTAGTAAAATCATTAATGTTTTCATGATACGCTGCTTTCTTAAGAGATTTTTTTAAAAAAAATGTGATATGTAAACGGTTTTAAATAAAATAAGTGCATAAATAAGTGCACACCTCTGAGCTTGGCAGTTCAGGCAGAGCCAGACGGTTCTTGGGCTGGGGTACCCTGCATGCCCCCCTCTCAGGGGAATAAGGCCACTGTGGAGACCAACAGCCAGGCTGTGACCTTTATTGGACACGGGAGCGTTCTTCTCTTGCATGTCGTTGAGGCTCAGAGGACAGTGCACATGATGGATTCCCTCTCCCTGTGGGAAGGGATAATGTCGGGGAAGACATACCGCATGTCACTGAGGACCGAGTCATTCTCCTCAGGGGCCGCTGGCAAGGCGAGTTGCTGCTTCTCCGGCTCTTCAGCGCAGCCTCTGCCCTTTGGGCCTTCTGCTGGCTTGTCCTCCTTTGTGTTGTCTCCTGCGCCCGGGCTCCTGGCTCTAATGGGAAAGGGAGCACCCGCCACTTCCTCACTGGGCCCTGGCATCCTTTTGTGTGCCCGCCTCGCGCTACCTCGCCTCTTCCTGGAGCTGTCTCGGGAGGCGCCTGCCAGGTGCTGCTGCCCCACAGTCTCCATCTCAGACAGGCTGTAGGCCAGGGTGGCCCGATGCAGCTCCTTGTCTTCGTCTTCAGGGTGGGCGAAAGAGAACCCTGTGCTCTGCGGGCGTGGTGGAGTCGGGATGTCCGTAGCAGACGAGCGCAGGATCTCGTGTTGCTCCGGCTGGATGAGCTCCACCGTGGCCTTCAAGTCGTTGTTGGTGAGGTCTGGAGGTGTGAACAAAGCAAGGGGTGAGGAAGCAGCCCCTTCAGCATCACTCTGTGGGCCCAGCACCCCTGAGGCTCCAAGGGGCTTTGCGCTCTGCCCCAGCATGCAGCAGTGTCATTTGGATAGGAATGAGAGACAATGGGAGCAGGGGCAGGGTTCTTTAGCACCTGAGATCGCAACATAGAATGGGAGGCCTTCCCAGTGCCCCTTCAGCAGCCCTCCATCAAGGAGGAACCACTGCCAATGTGAAAAGAATATCCTGACCTCAATGGATTTCTCTGCTTATTTTAATGTGGGAGAAACATGGACCAGTTCAAGCCTGGACCCAAATAGTCTTAATCCTTGCACAGCCGCTCATGGGCGATGAGGTACAATGGATGCCCTTATTACTCCAGGGACTGCCCAGCCTAGAGTCAGCCATAGAACTGCTCCTGCTCCTCCTCACCTTAGTGTCATCCATTGGCTCTGGCAGTCACAGTAAACACCAGTCACCATTGACCGAGATGCAGGCCAAGACCCCCATCTTCCCTTCTAGATGTGTGCCCAACTCTAGTGCCCTCCGAGTTTGATTTCTTACCATTCACTTCTGCCACTTTGAGCTCCCCGTCCGCGTCAATCTCCATTCTCTCCTGCCCATTCTCAAGGATCCTGCAAAAGAGGCCCTGTCACATTGCATTGCAGCACTTGCCACATTGCATTCTGGTCAAGTGTGCGCTGCCGCCACCCCACACCCACACCCCAACAGAGGCATTCTTGGTGACTTCTTCCCTAAACTCCCTCCTGCTAGAAGCTCAGCACAATCCAAACCTGAGCATTGCTCAGAAGCACTGTAAGACTTAGGACAAAGTTAATACAGAGTGGCTATTTTTATCGTCAACACTGAGAATGTTTCACTTCATTTTTTCTGCCTAACAGTTTTTAACTAACACAAGCACAGCATGGGGGCTAGTTATATATCTAAACAAATAAACTGATTGATTGGGAAACCACTGATAGTAAGCAGGAAACAATTGTCAAGATCTACTCCACAGGGGTAGGAGTTATTAGTTACCAGTATTATTATGCAAGAGCGAGAAGAGTCAGATGTACAGGGGATGGAGTGGAATTGCAAGGAATCCAAAGGACAAGCTACGCATTCAAAATTATCTCAGTAATAACGAGAACTGGTCAAGAGGAACAAAATGAAATTAAGCAAGGGCAAATCTGAAACGTTACAGCAAGGATAATTCTTTATTTGCAGTGTTGTGTTGAGGCTTGAAAACTAAAGATTTTTAAACCCACACCAGTTCACAAATGAACTGTAAGAAGATAAAAGGTTAAACAATCTGAGCAAAGGACCAGCCTACAGATTAAGGAAGGACAATATACTGGTTGTTTTTAATAGTATTTAAAAAATCTCAGAAGGTGATCAGGTAGGTGGACAGGGCAAAAATAATTGAAGGGAAGCAGTTTTAGGTTAAACATAAGGAAGAATTTCCCATTTGTAAGAGCATTTCATCACACATGAAGTGCTTTTGAAGGTCTCTTCTATTGTATTATTTGCACAGCCCATGAATTTGGGTTAATGGAGGACAGGTAATAGAAAAGGAACATATATTCTAAGTTCAAACAAAATGCCAAATGATGGTTTGGCAAAGTCCCGAACTCACAAACTCCCTCTTCCCCCATTCTCCTTTTGCACAATTTGCTTTAGTGAGTTGTTTCTGCTCTTGCAGAAAATGATAGTTTGCCTTACATCTGATTAGGGGGCAGGCTAACTCGTGTGCGCCTGGCCCCTCCTTGTCACCTCACCTCCTGGTGGTTATCCGTTTGCCATTGATGTACTTAGTAGATGTGGAGACAGAGCAGAAGCCTATTCCTAATTCAGCACCAGGCCCAAACGTAGTGAAGAAATCTAGAAGGGGAAAGTGACAACATCACTGCTGAGGGGGAAGGAGGCAGCTAGCGCAGGCCTCAACACCAGCCAAATGGCAGAGGCCTTCCCATACTGCAAATGTCATTGGGAATGAAGGGACTGGACAAAAGAGGCACCAACACTTAACAGGAGAGTTGTTCCTCGGACATTTAAAAGCAGGGGTGAATTGGGTCCTTGTGAGATGACAGAGCCAGAATGAGGTAGAGAAGCAGATATGGAAGAGGCAAAGTGTATTGGAGAAGCACAGAGGCAAGGCCTGCAATGAGCATGTGCAGCAGATTGCCCACTGAGCTTCTCAAGGCTGCAAGGTGATGCATCCTTGCCTTACCTGTCTGGAATGGAGAGCTGTAGGAGCAATAGGAGTAAGTGGTACAGCCTGGCATGACCCACTGGGTTATTCCTCCTTGAAGATCTGTATATGGGGACAACTCCTCTGGAAAGGAAGGAGGAGGCTGATAAGTGGAAGACTTTCCAGTTACACATTATAACCCAGATAATACAGGGACATGTTCAGTTCCGTTGCTTGGTGCAATGAGCCTAAGCAGATCAGGTAATATAATGCAATACAAATCCATGATTATACCATACCCCAAGACACAGAGAGGATGTCTTATGTGACATGCACCCCTTCAGTAAGGGCGAGGGCAGAGCAGAAAGATTGCAGCCAAGCTAGACCTGGAACCTTCCCCGTGTCCTCGTCTCTGTCAAAGCACAAAGAAGAAAAGCCCTGTGGATCATGGTAGTGAATGTAATCCACTGCTGTGGTGGCTGATTCATTAGGGTGAACAGAACACTGCTCTGAGCTCAGGCTCAGGCTGGGAGGACAGAGCTCACACAATCCTCTCTCTCTCAAAAGTCCACTCCTGTTCCTCTCCAAATGGCTCAGTTTCAGCAGCCTGGTGACACAGCAATCCGACACACACTTATCTGGGCACAAGACCCTCTGAAGACAGTGCGACCGCTATCTCAGCAAACATGCACAGGGGTGAACCGTTGGAGAGGGGAGGAAACATTTTAGTTGTTTCCACTGTTGAAAAAGAATGCAAATAAGAAAAATGTGAGTGAGGCCGTTGTCTTGTAACCTTGGTCCTGCAAGCTATAATAACATCTAGCTCCTTTGTCTCTGAGAAAGGTACTGCGTCTTGAGAACAGGGTGTTAGTGCCTTTAGCAAGTTACAGACATTTTTAAGCAGGGTGGTGAATCTTTTGCAGCCCAAGGACCACATTCCCTCCCAGGCAGACTTCTAGCGGCTGAATGCTGCTGGTGGGTGGGGCCAGGTGCAAAGTGGGCAGGGACACAAATTGGGCCCTCACCTTGGTATAGTAAGCGGCAGCCCAGCCATGCAAAACTCAGCCACTTCTGCATCTCCTCCTTTCCACATCTCTCTATCACGGCAAGCCAAAGCTACTACCAAGGTTCAAAGGCACTTTCCCAACAGAAGAAAGTACTCAAGGAGGATGGTGCAAGGGAGGGTCAGTAAGGGATGCAGCCTGGGGAATCGGGGGTGTAGCACTGCTGTTTTAAAATAAATCTCTCTTGGCAGAGCACATTGAGTTTAGTCTCTGGCATCTCCAGATTAAACGAAGAGAAGTCTCAGGTGCAAAGGCTGATGAAGACCCCTCTGCCTGAGGCCTGAGCTGCTGCCCACCAGAGGAGACAGCTGTGAGCCAGAGACACCATTATAAGGCAGCTTTATGTTGCCTACCCCTTGTTCCCCTCGTTCCAGCACATACCACAGAGTTCACTGAAGGGATCTTGTCCTGCGAAAAACTCTCTGAAGACCTCATCTGCATCACGGAAGGTGAACATGAAGTCCGGAGTCTCAGTGGCGCTTGGATAAAACCCAGCACCTTCAAGAAAACAAACCAGATACCTGTCACCATCACTTCTCAGCACGCTGTGGATGTCTTTCAGGGAGTGAAGGAAGAAGGGAAAGGGCATGATATGCTGAGGACAGCTGAATCTAGGCATGATCTCTTGGCCCCAAGCAAGATGCAGAGCCAGAAAGGAAGAAACACAGAGCAGGAAGCAGCCCAAACCACAAAAGAAAACAATTCAGTTCCCAGGATTCATTATTCCCACTTGATGCAAGAGGGGTCTCCATGCATGCAAGAGGACAGCTCCCAAAATAAAAACACAGAAAGATAGAGTGATAGGGGGCAGGGGTAAAGGATACAGTGAAGCAACAATGTGTGTTGAGCCACCCAGATTTTCATCAGGATTTTTTTCTCCTTGTGAGATTTCCAGTAGGGAAGAAAATTTCCAGGTGCAAGCCTGGAACAGCCTGCACAGGGTAGGTTCCTGCCCTCTGGTGCTAAACAAACTCTATGCTTTCAGGGTATCAGGGAGGAGCACCAGTTGGTGAGAGCACCAGGAAGTGCTTGTGGTGAGGACTGAGCCCAGAACAGAGGTGCATATGGATAATATGTCCTGCATGTCTACACACCAACCTCCACTCACCTGTGCTTAGTCCTATCAGTCCCTCGAGTCCATAGAGGTCATAAAGGTCCCGCTTATAACCTGCCAGAAATAAGGAACAAGAGGAGGCCAGTCCCATCTTGACACCCATTCAACTTTTGCTACAATCCTGTGCAAATGCTTTAGCTACAAGACTCCTGAGACAGTAGCAGAGCAAGGTGGGAGCGGTGGTGGCGGTCCATCCCAGGTGTCACCACTAAGTAGGGGGTGACAAAATGCCAGGCAGCACTCACTGTGGGGTCTGCAGCATGTCCGAGCCACACGTCTCTCCCCAAACAGTCTGCCCACCACCTCCCCCTCAGCTGTAGGGTGGCTGAGTGGCAGGAGGCAGGCAGACTGCTTTAGAGGCCCTGCGGAGCATCTTGCCCCGGCTGGCCCCGCTCCCAGACGTAGGACACACACGCCGCCCCAGGTGCCCAACTGGCTTGCTCCACCGCTGCCCTGAGACACCACAAGCTCTCCCTCCAGCACTAAGCACTGTGGCCCCAAACAGCAGCAATGTACTGAGTAGCAGAAAATATAGTTGCTCAAAGTGCCCCTGGTTCTTGCTTTTCAAGAGATGGGTGGAAGGCAGACTGGCAGGTCTAGCAGTGAACCAAAGGGGATGTCAGGTGCCTGGAGAAGGGGTTGTACAGGAAACTCATGCTGGGTGGACTGTGATTGGGCTGAGCTCTCACTTCTGTGGCCTGCAGGGAGTGAGAACTGGGAGCCAGCAGCAGCTCAGGAAGAGGCATGTGTGCATTATAGGGAAGGCCTCTAAAAGACCACAACAAGGCAGGGGGCATATAGGAGCACATAGGGAACAGCTCAGAGATAGGAGACCCCTGGGATGGGGAATGGCGAGAATGGTCCAATGTCTTACTGTCTGATAGCACTTCATATGCTTCTGCTATCTCCTTGAATTTCTTCTCCGCATATTCCTTGTTCCCTGGGTTTTTGTCTGGGTGCCATTTCAGTGCATTCTTCCTGTACCTACAGCAGTCCAAAAGGAGAGACTGAACTGTAGGATTACCATTAAGAGAAACCGTCACCTCTCAAAATTATGTCAAGAGGAGAGGTGTCATTTCTTCCCCAATACCAGCAGTACATGCCGTGGTGCATGCCTAAACTACATAATCTGTTGATTTCTAGAAGTCTTCACATAAGAAGCAATATTGACTAGGGCTGCAGTGTTTGGGATTTCAAAGGCGGAATTGACATCTGGGGTGGGGGTTCCAAAAAGCTCAACAAAATTTGGGGTGTCCTGGTTTTTACTTTTTTAATATGGCAACCCTAATAGTGGAAATTATGTAATTTCTGTATTCCTAAAATATTACAGAAAGGACCACCACATAGCCGGCGTACAACCAATTTGTAGGAATACCTTTGTAACCTCGAGGATAGGCTACTATGATGCACTCTGTTTGGTTGCATTCAGTTACTATCTGGTGGGTTCAGCTAGTAGACAGTGTGGGATCCTGCTTCCATGCTGGGGTATGCCTCAAAAGATGAATGACACCTGTGATGTAGCATCTGCATTGGCTCCCTGTCCTGTTGCATTCTGGGCACAATGCAAGGTGCTAAATCTGACCTCTTAAGCCCCTTTGGCCATTATTATTACTGAGTACCTTCTTGAATACATTGTCCATGCACCAAATTCAAATAGCGAGGGCATGTTCGGTGAGTTTGGTGGCTGACCTATAACTGCGGAACTCCTTTGTCCTAGAATCCTTTGTTCAATCAAAGTCTAGGTCTGTAAGCTCTCCAGAATAGTTGCAGAACTTTTTTTTCTTTGGTCTGGCATTCTGTGGCCAGGGTTAATCAAGCATGGGGTGATTTTTGTTTGTTTGTTTTGTTTTCTACATGAGTATTATTTCGTCTTCTTTTTGTTTGTGTGTGTCATATTACTCTGTGAACTTGTAATTATGTCCTTTTGATTTTTCAATAAATGATATTTTTAAAAAGCATGGGGTGATTTTACGTAATTTATTTAGCGATGTTTTCCTATTAATGGCTTTGAAGTACAATACTGTAATCTACCTGGAATCCTTGGGAAAAGGTAGGATAGAAATTGAATGCGCCAAATAATATAAATAAAGGGCAGAATGCACAGATATTCCTAAAGGGGTAGAGGTGAATCACAGTTTAGATGTGTCCAGCACAAAAGCCCCTGGACCTATTTACCTGCAATTTGGTAGTTTATCTACTCTAGAAGGGCTGCTATGTATCCACTTCTGTCAAAGGTGAAAAAAGTCATAGTCATTAAAAAAAATTCCCAATAGTGAATAAGGGTGAGGAGAAGGAAGCAGGTAAGATAGACTTTCCCAAGCTGAACTGGGCAGGCTCCAAACTGATCTGAGCCAAACTGGGCTATTTTATGAAGTGCCAAATTCAGGTCCATATAACATCTTGTGGTTGGTGCACCCTGTGCTACTTACGCCTTCTTAATGTCATCTGAGGAGGCCGTTTGAGGGATGTCCAGTGTTTGGTAGTAATCAACCATGATGCAGCTTGTTTAGCGCAGAGGCCAGCTGTAAATTAGGGGAGAACATGGTATGACATTGATCATCCTCCAGCCAGGCTTCCACACTCACCCACTCCAGCTCTCAGAAGCACTCAACTGATGCCAGATGCAAAACATCTTCTGCTGAAAGTACCTAATACAAGATGTCTGTTCAAAACACAGTTTAGCTTTATGTGCAGCCACCACTATCCCATCCCCTCATAAGTTGCAGGTGGCATGTGCTTCCACCTCAGGAGGACATTGCTGACCAACTCCCTTGTTCTACACTATAAAAGGGTAAAGGGACCCCTGACCATTAGGTCCAGTCACGGACAACTCTGGGGTTGCGGCGCTCATCTCGCTTTATTGGCCAAGGGAGCCGGTGTACAGCTTCTGGGTCATGTGGCCAGTATGACTAAGCCGCTTCTGGCAAACCAGAGCAGTGCATGGAAACACTGTTTACCTTCCCGCCGGAGCGGTACCTATTTATCTACTTGCACTTTGACGTGCTTTCGAACTGCTAGGTTGGCAGGAGCAGGGACCAAGCAATGGGAGCTCACCCCATCGCGGGGATTCAAACCACCAACCTTCTGATCGGCAAGTCCTAGGCTCTGTGGTTTATCCCACAGCGCCACCTGCTGCACTATACAGTATTATAAATGAATAAGTGGCCCTAGGTCCTGGCTAAGCATCACAAAGGCACAAATTATTTTACTTAAATAAAATAAAAAGGTATTTGGCCTGTGTTGATAACCAAGTTGTAAATCATTAAGTATATATACCTGCAATAAATTGCCCTGGATCTTTACAAGTGGAAACAGTGGAAACACCTCTCCTCCATTTAGCGCAGACTGCAGACAATATTACAGGATTTGCACTGCAACACATATTCACTCTGTTATCTGCCCTATATCATCACTACTAATCCAGGCATGTCCAAAGTCTGTTTCGGGGGCCTAATCCGGTCCACCTGCCGATTTAATCTGGCCCCTGTAGCAGTATATGTCCTGGGGTAAAATCCTTTTAAAAAAAGCTCCGCAACTTCAATCCTATAAGAAGCTCAACAACTTTGGTCGGCCCTCACGCATCAAATCTGGCCCTCTTTGAAAAAAGTTTGGGCACCTCTGCACTAATCCATGTTATGCACACAAGATCACCAGGACATGAGATGGCCAAAAGGGGGCTTTGTTTTTGAGAATGTCATTGTGGTATAATAGTGACAGGTTCAAATCCCTGCAAGGCCAGGTAGAGATTATTAATACATTGGAATATTAATACATTGGAATATTGTAAGAATATTAATACATTGATCCATATTCTGAAGGGAATTCCATTAAGTTTCCTTCCACCTACATATTTTTATGTCTTTTTAAGCAATGCCAAGGACATGCTTTATAGATATGTGCAATGGCTTTGCGGATGTCTGGACTGGTTACCCACAGCCATCCACCACTGAGTTGCTGTCTGGACTTGTAGTTCAAGAATGCAGATATAAAATAGCAGGAAGGCCGCTGTGAGAACAGGATGCTGGACTAGGTGAGCCATTGGCCTGATCCAGCAGGCTCATCTTACATTTTTGTGCTTAAGGGTCTAACCTCCCGATTCTGATCTCTGTATTCCAGGGTCTCTCTAGACTTTACTCTTCTCCATCTGCATCCCTGGAGACATAGCCCTCATTTGGCTTCTTCCACCCTCTTGCTGTGGAGTTCTGGATTCATCTTATTGTTTCAGGAGGGAGGGAGAAGGTGCATGCTATCTGCATCATGAACTCAATACCTCTGGCTCTTCATACCTGCCCAAAGCCTCTGTTTCTTCCTCTGGCTGCCTTGGACATAGGAAAGGACAGCAGGACCTCTCCATCATCCTTTTGCATCTACCCTCTCTTGATGAGCATATACTGCAACCAATGACAATCTTCTGCAGATTGTGATGTCAGGGGGGTGAGGCTGCAAGCTCTTGGTCATAGCCCAAGTGTATGGTACTTGGGAGGGGTTAGTAATTGAGGGAGGGGGACTCCAAGCCAGGGCATCACCATGTGACAACTAGAGGCTGGGATTCATCACAGACATGGAGAGGAAATGGTAAGGAATATATGGCACTGTGTGTGATCTGCTGTACGAAATGAATGTATGAAACTGTGAAATAACATCTCTGTAACACAAAGTCATGCAGCATTTCTGTGGGTCCCTGAATAACACTGTTTTGTCATTGGCTTCCCATTGTGTGTAGGGTTGGCTAGGATCCACCTGCAGCCAGACATGACAGGGCTCAGTTCTAGAACATGCAAAGAAATAATAAAGAAGAGTGTGTGTCTGAGTGTGTGTCAAGTATTCTTTTGCTCATCCCTGAGGAACTACCATCGATCTCCATGTGTCTGGGATGAATGGGCATTAATGTGTCAGAACACATGGCTTCCAAGCTAGTCTGAGTTGCATCATGGGGATTTAGAAAGAAACCTTTTCTTTACACATGGTTACCCCAGGCACTCTGGATGACTTCCAACATATATAAAAACACGATAAAACATTAAACATTTAAAAAACTTCCCTATACAGGGCTGACTTCAGGTGTCTTCTAAGACAGTACGGTTACAGTGGTACCTCGGGTTACAAACACCTCAGGTTACAAACACTTCGGGTTACAGACTCCACTAACCCGGATGTAGTACCTCAGGTTAAGAGCTTTACCTCAGGATGAGAACAGAAATTGCACAGCGGAGGCGGGAGGCCCCATTAGCTAAAGTGGTACCTCAGGTTAAGAACGGTTTCAGGTTAAGAACGGACCTCCAGAACAAATTAAGTTCGTAATCAGAGGTACCACTGTACTTGTCTCCTTGGCTCAGGGTCACATAACTCCACACCCTCCAACATTTTTCCAGTGAAAATAAGGATGTCCTAAGGAAAAGCAGGACATTCCAGGATCAAATCGGAAACCGGGACGGCTTCTGTAAATCCAGGAATGACCCTGGAAGATAGGGACACTTTGAGGGTCTGCAGTAAATGCCTGCTTAGTTAGGTGTATGGGAATCAGAGGTCGGTCCAATTATGATGATCAGTTGGCTGAGGAATGTTATTTCCCTGATCATGAGAAAGCCCATAATTTTGAGGTGCCTTTGGGCTTCAAAGCTAGGGAAAAGCTGAGGTGGTGCCAGCAACTGATATTACAGAGGTGCCCCCCACAGTCTGTCACAATCTCAATTTTTTTCAATGCCATAGAAAGCTAAATCTGTGAGTGTTGGACAAGTTGCTTTGGATAACAACCTAACCAGTTGTTCCTATTTGTGCTCACACTGTTGTTCCTATTTGTGCAGTTCACACTGCAATGAGTGCCTTGGTACCCTCCTGTTGTGTTTTTCGTTCTGGTTCATCCCAGAGGGAGATAATCCATGAATTTTCTCAAGCCAAACTGCTGGCATGGTTGTTAATAAGTGATGCATGTCATGTAATGAATAGGTGCATATAATTAATAGGTAGTCATAGAGTGTCCCAGTGATTCCTGAGGTAGGAAGCTTCAGACAGGCCATAAAACAGTAATGATCGTGTTTGACATACATCTCCTAAGAGATTTGTCCTGCTCTGCTCCTGTTTGCAGAGTGATGAATGGGGAAAAAATTATGCAACAACAAAAACAAACCTCTTGAAATATGTCCATGCACTCAGTTACAACTCATGGCAGTCACAATCCATATTAGGGAAAATACCTTTAGCAGGTCAACCAAAATAGTGTACAAGCATTCGACTTCTCCAGAACTACATCAGGCTAGACGGCAGACAGAAAGCAGAGTAAGGGTAGGAAAAGGCCATGTGACCTGCATCTGATTACAGTCTCAAGATGGAGTGGGGGAGGTGGCAGTAGACATTCAAAACAGGCTAGTTCTGTACTAGTCAGGTATCAGGTTACACTAAGACCTCCTGGGGAAAAGAAGCATTCCTAATGGCTGATCCCCCATCTCTTCAATAATGAAACCTGAATAAAACCTGGATAATAGCCCCTTAATGTGGTGCCAGAGATAGTGGAATCACCCGCCTGTATACTTTGTAATTAAGTCTTTAATAATGCTTCCCACTAGTTTTCCCAGAATAGATGTTAAGCTAACCGTCATATAATTTCCTGCCCCCCCCCTGGATCCCTATCTCAAAAATGGGTGTTACATTGTTCACTTCCTGTCATGGACATTTTATTTATAAGCAGGGAGGGAACAAAACTTCTGTTGTTCTAAACACTTACTAGGGAAGTAAGTTCCAGTGAACTCAGTGTGACAAATTCTGGATAAGCAGAGCTTCCATGTTCAAGAGCAGTATTCAACTGAATACCAGTTGATTTGAGGCTGGGAGGTGCATGCCATAAGAGACCTACTCAGGGCTTTTCCCCCAGCTGGAACTCACCAGAACTCAGTTCTGGCACCTCTCAGGTTGGCGCCATTGCCATATAAGGTGTTCATGGTGAGTTCCAACATCTCTTTCCCCTGAAAAATAGCACTGGGCCTATTGCCTTCATACCCTGTTTTTGAACTTACTGAAGACATCTGGTTAGCCACTGTGGAAAGACAAAGCAGCAAGTGGCTTAAGTGTCATGGATACTGGGGACAGACAACTATTTCAGCAAAAAGGATCCCTGGGCCAAAGCACCATTGTTCCTCTCCACATCAGCCCCTGGATACTCAGTGTTCCCATTGCTGCATCTGTTACGGTAGTTCAGGGATGGAAAATCTGTGACCCTCTCGATGTTACTGGATTACAACCCCCATCATCCCTTGCTGGCTGGGGCTGAGGGATTCTGGGAGTCCAGCATCTGGGTAGCCTCATAATAATTCCCATGTATCTTGTTGAGTAAGAGCAAGCACCAAGTATGAACAAATAAAATTTGGGTTCCTGACCCTTCCTTTATTGTACTCTCAAACACTCACTCCTGGAGGTGCCCAGCACTCATCCACACTCACAGGTTGTCTTGAAAGAGCTTGCACCAGCATTGGGAGCATCGCGGACAGGAAGATGGGGCATTTAGGTCAAACATTTCCCCTTGGCTACTTAAATATGGAGACCAAGTCTTTCCATTATGAGCTGGAGCGTCAATATGTGGAAGAAGCATGCTCTTCCTTGGATTTAACTGGTTTATTCTATTCCAGGCTTGGATATTTTCCCACTGGTTTACTTGCATGGCCTGATTCGTTCCACGTGGTTTTCTTTTAGCCGGAAGTGGTGCTTGGCCAGCACCAGAGAACTCGGGGGCCCCACCAAAGAGAAACCTTGCTGTATTTTCTGCTGGGCCAAGCCAGACGGTAGCTGGCACCTTCCATGTATAAGCAGGCATAGTGCTCTCAGTGTGCTGGGGGTCTACTTTGTTACCTCTCCCATCACTGTTTTGGACCTGCACCTTGCTCTTCCCAGCATTCAGCTGCTTCTTCTGGACTGCCATGTTGTTCTTCACAGCATGCAACTCATTTTTCTGGACTTTCATCCTACTCCTCTCATCATTCAGTGCCTTCTTTTGGACATTAGCCTTGCTCTTCCCGGCGTGCGTCTTGTTTTCCCCAGCCTGCAGCTCACCCTTTTGGGAACGTTTTGCTTTTCCATCTTTCAACTTTGGCGATATCAACTTAGTCACCCTCCCTGACATCTCCTTACTTTTGATTGGTGAGGTTTTCCTCCTAGTGTACCTCAGGTGTCCAATACGTGGCTCCTGCTTGTCAGATCGTTCCTTCTGCCCAGCACACTGCTCTGTCCCACGATCAGGTTCACGTCCTGGATGGGATCTATGTTTCTGTGCTGAAAATTTCTCAGTTTGCATCTCATGCTTTCCAGGGGCAGCATCAGCTTCCCCACTCCGAAGCTTGTTCTTGGTGCTTGACTCTGACTTCTCATGCCGCTGTTTCGTCTTCCCTGTATGAAGCTTATTCTCACCATGCAGCTCAGTTTTTAGCTTGGGAAGCTTAGCCTTCCCCGTATGGGTCTCCCAATCTTCGCTCTGTTGCCTGGCCTTTTCTGCATAGGCCCCATTCTTCTCAGTTGGGGCTTTCCTCTTCCCATTGGTGCTCTCGCTATTCTCCACAAGAGGTTGTTTACCAGACTTGCTGCTCCTAGTGTGCAATGCGCTGTTCTCGACAGGCAGGTTTTTCTCCCTAGTCTGCAATCTCTTTCTCCCATCCTGGGTCTGCTTACCCTTCCCGACTGGAAAATCCTTTTTCTCAGGAGACAATTGGTCATGCTTTGCCCGGTGTCTTTTGTGAGGCTTTCTACGTGGATGCAAAGGAAGGGGCTTGCTAGGCTTCTGACCTGGATCGTTGGACTCAGAATCTGACTCTGAATTCGGTTCACTGGATTTGGAGCTTGACCTGCTACACTCAGAACTGGACTCAGAACTGGATTCATTAGACTCATCAGAGTTCAAGGTGGAATAATGCTCTGAACTCGACGACTCATCATCAGACTCAAATGTTGAGTCATCATACTCAGAACAAGAGCTCTTGTCATTCTCCACACTCAACTCGTCATCCTGAGAACTTGGTTTGTCTGGCTTGGTGTGGTCTTTCTCGTCTACCGTATTACTCTTGTGTTTCTCATGGGCAGGCATCACACCTGCAATAAACCAAATTTTTAGTCTTGTGACTATTTTGCTCTGTTCCCAGGACAAATCTAAGCCTGATTTCTATGCAGTGGAAACAGCTGTCTGTAGTCTGTCAGACTGTAGTCTGACAGGTTTTTCACCTTGGTTCCCTCTGCAACAACCGCCATGTTAACGGGGGGATAAGTCCCCTTTCTTATAAGCACACAGAAAATTTAATGTTCAAGGATGAATCTTCAGGCACATAACAAATACATTTCCTTTAGTTAGTAGAACTTAAGCATTTCAGAAAAGAAGATAAGTGAAATTAAAAGCATAAGTCACAATTTAATATATCAGAAAGATACTTATACCCAACTTCCTTTGAAGGAGATGCAATTTTCTAATCTTTCTCAATTATCAAAGAAAAACAAGACTGCATTCCACAAAATATACAACTTCTTGAAAGGATCTGATAATCATATGCCCGAAGTACATACAATGCAACTTCTGCAACAATTTTGATTAAACATAGCTTACTATCATCAAAGCAAAATAATTTTAGCAACATCTAATAGAACTACATCAAATACAGTTTCTTTCTTTTTTTTAAAGTGTATATGGATGTAAGTTACATAGATATATTGTATTATAAAAACCTAACTGGTACAAAAATGTGTTTGGCTCACACCTGAGCATAATAAAAGTATAAGTTATAAAAATAGCATTGCTGTGAACACAACTTGTTCAAATAATCTATACAGGTGTTTTGATTAAGTCAGGCTAATTCAATATTTTCTCCTAAAAGGAGACAAAAGCATTTCATTGCAAGATAGGAAATGGGGGATAGTGATGTGCTGGTTTGACACACAGGTCTAGGCTACCTTTGAAGGATGTTACAAAATCAGAAAGATGTCTTTTATTTCCATGTTACAACTTTAATTGTGAAGCTTTATGGCGAGGTAAATTAGCTTATAGGGCATGTTCTAGTGTTTCCAGAACCAATCAAAATGGATGCAAAAATGAGTTCAGAAGTGGGCCTATTTGCCACAGTTTATTTAAAGGACAGTTCAGTTTGTGGCCTGGGATACTCAGCACTTCCAACTTACTTGAAGGCAAAAATCAGCAAAGCTCATGTGCGAACCACACCATATTTCCTATAAGACCCCAGGGTGTCTCTTAGAGACCACCTGGTGAGCCCATTATTCTGAAGTGGTCAGGGCTCTTAGCATCATTAGACCCAAATTGTTCTCTGTTCATTCATAGATAGATGGATCATTGAATTAACATATATGACAATACAAGCAACAGAAGACAAGAAAGATTAAATAACAATGGATGACTCATCAGTTAATATATCATGGTGGTTAAAGTTTATTCTAATAGTTAACTTTTCCTATTGATCCCAATGGTTTCTGTAGTGGTGGGATCTTACCAACCTCTACACTGCCTTCTCCTGTTCTCTGACTCACTACTGGGGCATTCTGCTCTATAACTCCACCCACTTCTACCCACTTGTATCCTGCTCCTCTAAGGGAGCCCTGTCCCCCTTTGACCCTTTCATTCTCCTCTATTTCTATACTGCCTATGCTTTCTCCACCTTCTCTGTCTTCCTCGTCTTCCTCCTCTCCCTTGCCTCCTACTTTAGCTCCCTCCTTCCGAGTTGCATCCATTATCCTCCTCTGCTAGCTTCCAGTCTCTCCTGCTTTCTCTTTAACCTGCTTCGGATGCACCATCAGTCCTGCTTTTATTCTCTGGCTGTTCAGGCATCCCTACAGCTTTAGTGATGCTACCTTGCTCTGCCTGACTCACCTGCCAGCCAGACTGTCAGGCTGCAGGGCAGGCAGACGAGCTGCAGCAATGCTAGTTCTCAACAGCATGTTATACCCTTAATTGGAAAGCAAGCTTGGGCTCGGCTGGGCAAACACCTGCTTAAGCAACCTTCTGGCCAGCTAAGTAATTGGTTCTCCATGAAGGAGTTGAAATTTCAAGCATAAGACTGAGAAAGTGTGTTATTAGCCAACGGGTTTTTGCCCCTTTTATTTTAGACTTCAAACATGTTTGGAAACATCCATTGTACATATTTTAAAACTAAAACTAAATTCTAAATAATATATGCAGATAAACCTGACACTGCTCATTAACATCTCCTAGCTATTGATGCCTGCTTCACTCAAAATAGTGCTTCCCATCTTTAAATGTTCAAATCCCAGAGGGAGAGATTCTGGGGAGCAGCAACTGCAAATGGCGCTGTGTGCGTCTGGCCTATTGTTGGATGGAGGACACTACTGGGAAGGCAGCCAACAGTAATTATGCAAAGGAAGGGGTGGAAACTGTTTATTAGATATGCCAGATACCAGCTTTTTAGCTCTTCTATAGGTCGAACCAGCACTTGAATCGTGGCTCCAAGGTTATAAAAAGTCAGCCAACACATTCTGCACAAGCTACAGCTTTGGAACAGTCGTCAAGGGAAGTTCCACTTGGAGTAGCTAAGCGCAAAAGGCTATGCAGTGCAGGTTACTGAGAGCTGAAAAGCTATGAAAATTAAAAAGTACATGACATGCTTTGAAATAGGTTATAAACCTGTAACAGAGTGGTGGGCAGGAATAAGGCACCCACAACTGAGCTAGCCAGCTAACACCCAGCATGTCAATACAGCACTTTCTGCCATGCATCAGATAATGATTTTGATTATGCTCGATCTGATCTCTGTCTGCCAGGTCAACCAGAGGCAAACAGCATCCTTATATTAATTGTGTGGCCTCTGGCTGGCTGACCCAGGATTCAGTGCAGGTCAGCTGAGCTGACAACCTCAGTGGGATTAAGTCAAAGCTGGATCCAATTAGAAAGATGTTCCACTCTTTCCCTTCTGCTGCCTTGGGTCCCAAACACATGTTACAAGGAACAAGTGGCTGCTGCTGATCTCGGTCTCCCTGGTAACATGTAATTAAAGAAGAAGTGCCATGTGGCATCATCACACTCTGAATGTCTTCACCCCTGCAAGCAGCACCCAATGACAAGGCACTGGAGCTCTACTTTAGCTAAATATTACCGGGGCAAGATAGGAAAGGCAGGTCACTGGCTGCCACACATTCCTCATCGCATGTTATTTGGCCAATGGTTGCAGTTGTATGGATCAAGAAGAACTCCACAAAGACACTCCTCATGGTGGCTTTCTCCATTTCCTCTCAGGAACGTGAGACTGAATTGTGAAATCACTCACCTTTTTCATTCTGTCTGTTCTGGAGGGAGCAATCCAGGTTACGCTTGTTTGCTGAAAGGCAGAAGATATACCTGAAAGTTCTCCAGCCCTGCTGCAGCCAGCTGAAAGCACTTGGCTCAGGATTTGGAAAACTACCACTCCTCTAGGCACAAGGCACCCATAAAACGGAAACTTATTGTATTCCCCCCCCCCCCCGGTGACTAACCAGCTTTTTAAGAAGCTTACAGTTAGGGATAAACAAACCTGCCAGTTTCAGTTTCTCTCCCTTTTTTTAGTTTTTCCATCTTTAAATTCAATTCACCACATTCCTGCACCAGTTTGCTTGTCTTTTTTAAGTCTATGTGAAAATTCATCAACATTTCTTCTAATATCTGTATGCAATTTTGCCTAGTTTTTGCAAGCTATTTTCTCTTAACATGAATCATTTCTGTTTGTTGTTTTTGCTATATGCATTTTTACTTTCCTCTAATGTATACACAGGTGTTTAGGGGTTGTTGTTGTTGTTTTCAGAACTGCATTGCAAAATTCAGATAAGTGTGAATGTTGAAGGACAGCTGCATTTTGGCTTGTGTTTTGGTTTGGGAAGCGCGAATAAGGTAGAGTTGCATTAAAATGAAACCTGAAACAAATTTATGCCCCTGTCCATAGTTATAGTCAATTGCAGCAGCATAGGGAGCCATGAAAATGTGCAGAAATGCTGGCAGCCGTCTAAAGAAGAAGGCATATTGCAGGAGAGAAGCTCTAGGCACCTACTAATAGGACATGGACTGATGGCAAAACTGCATGTTTCCCTGTAGCTCTACTACTTCAGAAGAGCACCCCAAAGCAATTCCCCAAAAGGAGGATGGAAACATTGAGGCACGAATGGGACACCAGCCTCCTGTCCATGTAAACAAAGAGGGTGATGCCCCCAGATGTGTGTAGACTGCTGCTCTTTATCTATTGGGTTTGGGCCAGTCTGACATAAGGTGGGTTATAGCAATGGCGTCACAAAGTTTGCTTTAAAAGAAAAAGAAAAGTGGGCAGAGAAAATAGTGTGGGTATATACTGGTGCCATTTCTTGTTTGCCTCTCCCCCTGCAAGCCTGGGAATTGCAGTTTGGCACAGGTGCTAAGAGAGATCTATCACCGTCTGGTTCCCACCCAGAACTGCATTTCCCAGGGAGAAGACGGTTAAGCCCGTAGACTCTTAAAGAGATCCAGAGAGAAGGAGAAGGGGAATATATATGTTAGAAAATAAATAAATGTGGGTCCCATGCTGCAGGTTGGGGTTAAGGATGCTTCTCAGGTGGGAAAAGACTGAAGATTACTGGTGTGGATTTCTAACCAGGATTGCTTCAGTGCATAGGGCAGGTTGAAAAGACACTCTCCCTCACTCTCTTGCTGATCAGCAACTAGGGTCAACTTGTGTCTCATTGGGAAACCAAGGCCCCAGTGAAGTGAGAACAGCAGAAGGGTCTAGGAGTCGGAGCCCTTACAGTTTGACAGCACTTTGTATGCTTCCATTATCTCCTTTGACTTCTCTTCAGCTTCTTTTTTGTTATCTGGGTTTTTGTCAGGATGCCACATCTTCAGTTTCGCTCTGTACCTGTTCAGTTAAAGAAAAGGATGTAAAGAATTAGGTTCCTGATGGCCTGTTTATTTTTTGAGCAATTCATCCTGAAATTTGTGCAGAGGTTATACCACTCTGCCAATTGGTAATTATCTCCCACTTTCCAGTGCTCTCCCCATCACTTTTTTTTTAACTGCAAAATTCTACAAATAGAACCAGGTTTGTTGTACAAGAGTACTGTAGTGCTCCTTGCTACTTATCACCCTGTACCCCTTCCTCACAGGTGGGTTATGTAGATGCTATTTATTGCACAAAGGACATAAGATGGCATCTACCTGAATGGGTGAGAGATCTGTGCAAACCTCCTGACCGTCTGGAAACAACTTAGTCTGTTTGGGACCACCCATTAACCACCTGAGCAAATATATATATTTTGGAATCTATTTCTGCAACTCAAAATCAAACACTTTGCCAACCCTAAAGAAGGAAAATGCTTACTTCATTGACTTCTGAAGGTATTAGAATTCAGTGCTTCTTCATTGCCCCAACATAACAAATCCCCATTCCTAGCCATTAAAAGTATATATACATGTCCATTTCATAATAGGTGACTCAGGATTCAATGCTGGCTTCTCTTTTGAAAACAGCACATACTCTTTTGTTATCTCATCCACACAACCCACCCACCCACCCATCCATCCATTCATTCATTCATTCTCCCCCTCCTCTCTGTCCTATACACACAATGTTGCCTCCTCCCTTCCCTAGCTGCATTTAGGCCTCACGAAACCTTCCTACTGAAGCCAACAGAAGAGTTTCTCCAGCCTAAATAAGTATGATGCAAAGGCATTTTTTGCAAGGGGGAAGGTTAACTTTTCCCTCCCTAGCTGTGACTCTGGCTTGAAAAGAAATCAATTAGGCTTGAAAACAAATCCTATTGGCTTCAGTAGGAAAGTCTTTTGAAGCCTAAATGTGGTGCTGGGGATGAGGAGGGAAGAATGGAGGCTGTGAGCCAGACAGAGCTGCCTCAAGGCTGGCAGTTCCTCGGGCGAACGGAATGCTCTGAAGGCTGACTTACGCCGTTTTAATGTCGTGATGCGTTGCCCCCTGGGGAATGCCCAGGACTTCATAATAGTCCTTCTCATCTTTTGTCTGTCCTGTTGAGAGACTTGGAGGGACACTGGGGTGTCTTGGCTGACCCATGCAGGGCAGAGACAAGGAGATGTCGTAAGTACCTGGCCCTGCAGAATAGAAAGCAGAAGGAGAACTAGGCAGGAAGAGCAGGCTTACTGTCTTGACATTAGTCTATGAATTATAAAACCAGCTTCGATCTTGGATCAATGCCAATTATTTTAATTGGTTTGTTTTTATACTCGTGTTTTTAATTAACAATTATTTGCATTAGATCGGACTGTTATAGGATGTGTGATCTTTGCTGTGTATATTCTCATATCTATGGTTTTAAACTGCTTTGTGTATAGCAAAGTAGAAAAGCGGTATACAAATGAAAATTTAAAAGCCATTGGTTTAAACCTCAGCTGGGTGCATCTGAGAATTAGTCTTTGCCTTTCAGGGCCACATGCATCACTACAGGAAACAGAGTATATACAGAGTATACATTTCAATCAGTATCATACCACTTCATAGCTACAATTCATAGAGTTCCCTGGGAAGAAGAATTGGTTGTAAAACCACTCTAGTAATTGAAGCTCTGTGAAGGGAATAGAGGTCTCCTAATTACTCTCAGCACCCTTAACAAACTACAGTTCCCAGGATTCTTTGGGGGAAGCCATAATGTTAAAGTGGTATATTAGTTCTGTAAATGTATGGTATGGATGTGGCCTAAGAAATGACATAGTCCCTCAGAGGGTAAGTGCTGTGCTATAGTTTTCTTCACTGTCAAATTAGCCGCACATTTATATGCAGTGAATATTTCTTTTATGCCACCAGAGCAAGCAACAAGATGTTTACACTTCACTGAAATGAAATGTTGCTTTAAAACAGAGTTCTCTAGCTGATGCCCTCCAAGTGCTGATGAGTTCCAACTCAGTGGTCAAGGATGGGAAATACTAGAGTCCAGCAACACCTGGAGAGCACTAGCTGGTGGAAGGCTGCCTTAAATCGACCCTTTGACATGATTAGAGCCCAAGTCTATGACCTATTTGTGGGATAACCAGCCTCATATAACCAACATACATAAGTCTAATTAATGCATGAAGGAGTTAAGACCATAGAGTAAGCTGTCCTGCCAAGTTTAGTTCACTGTGGGAGGGACTAGGTAATCAAGACTTTGTTCCCCTTCAGTCTTTCTGAGAAGCTCAGTGAGTGAAAAGGCTAACCTGGTTGCTACAGCTTAGCTGCATAGCTCTCTCAAGCCACTCTTTGCGTTCCTATACCAATAACTTAGGAACTTTCACCTCTGTAACTGACAAGTTTTACTGCCAGTGCAACTTTTTTCTGAATGCTGGATGGAAAAAAGTACATGAACCAGATCTTTGAAGAATTTGTAAGTAAACCAATCTTAACTTACCAAACATGTGGTCTTTGGAAGTTTTGGAACTCACAAGGGCATATTTTAAAGGTCTAACAGGCTATACATCCACATTTCACTTTGCTGCATATTTTGTGATTTTAAATCTCTGCTGTGGTTCTCTCAACAAAGAGTATTTGCCCCAAACGTAGAACTTGGCATCCAGAAATTCTCCTTATATACCTATTTTTTCCCCTTGAACCAACAATACTTAGCACAGCAGTGACCCTGGCCTTATGTATCAAAGGCAATTGTTTTCAGGTGGCATAAAATGAGCTAGTCAACCCAGGATGAAGGCTTGGTGGGTAGTTCCACTAAGTATCTGAACAGCTGAAACCCAGGCCCTACCTCACAGTCTCAATGAATTTTTCCTGATGATTGACACATCCTTTGGTATATTCATTTTCCATGTAGGCAGAGCCCTAGTCACTCAAAGCTGCTGCCCGGGGTAAGAAAAGAGGAGCTTGATTGTGATGTCAGGGGCTCTGCAACTTGCTCTCATGATTTGCGGTTGGCTGGCAACAGGCAGTAGGAAATATGGTGTAAGCTCCAGGGCATCCTGGCTCTTAGGCAGAATCTCAGAAATACACACCAGCTGTAACAACCCAGATAGACACGCCACAGCCCATAAATGAAATGGTGTAGCCTCCACATTTAAGCCTGCAATTCATTAGTCAATAACTCAGGTTGCTATCTATCCATGGACCAATTCCAAGTAGCAAGATGCCATGGCATAGATGGTGAGAAGCAGCGTTCATTGATTGATTCATTCGTTTTGTAACCAAAATAGTGATTCAGAAATGTGATGGGGCTTAACTTCAAGCATTTTCAATCATGAACTTCATTAAATTCCAAAACACAAAGCAACTTGGCAAACAATTCACTTGAGAGTTGCCTGCAGATGTCAAAAACCAACCACGGCAGACATCAATCAATTTGCGAAGAATGCATACATGTGTTTGTGTATTAAATCTGTTTAATAAATTCATGTTGTAAATAATATTGTGTATTTAATTAAATATATTAAGTTTATATTTAAATAGATAATTTAATTAAATTCATTAATAGTGCATATTAAGATAATATTAACTATATTGCGAACACTTTATGATATGGAATTTTAATTCACTGTTTGGCCCCCAGGTTGTGTGCCACTCTTGCAGCCCATTTGGTCTGAGAGGTTAGACCACCCTGATCTAGCCTAAAATAGTCTTTACAAAATTAAAAAAAAAAGACAAAAGCAACCCTCACTAAAAATGCCTCAAACTACCTGGACACAGAGGTGGGAAGTGTGTCCCTTGTAATCCATGATGTCACTGGTGCTGATAGGTACCTATGACAGTTGCACAACAACCTTCAAAACACAGTAGCTCTGCTGATTGTAATGGAGTTGCTAGCTAGGAGGTGACTCATATTTCACCATAACCTCCAACAGTGGTTTGAGAGAGCTTCATTAACATGTGACCCCAAAATTCCGGATCCCCTCAAACTGATGCCAAAGTTTTGTGCCATTTTGTGCTGCGAACCCTGCGTTTTGTGCTGCCGCCCCCAAACAAGTAATTGACAAAGCAAATTGGGGTCACAAGTGGATGCCAAAAAATCCAGCCTTGTCCAATCAACTCCAAACCAGTACCAAAACCTGGGGGCCACAAGGACACCCCAAAACCCAACCACGTCCTATAGACTCTAAACTGGTACCAAAGTGGTGTGCCGCAAACCCCACTTTCTGTGCAGCCCCCCAAACTGAACAACTGACACTGAAGACAGGAGTGTTCCTAACAAACAATCTATTTCCGCTCTGATACTAATCCATTTCCTTAAGATACAGGTGATCCTGCTAAACCAGGAATTCCAGAAGGGAGCCACAAGGACCAAACTCAGGCCCTCCAAACGCTCTTGAACTCCAACCTCAATCATCCTTGATTGTGGGTGGATGGATCTTTCAGTTTCTCCTTTTTTCCAATCTTAAATTTGGTTTTGCACATTTCTGCAGCAATCTTCAATTTTAACTTTTGAAAATCCTCATAAAAATTCAGGATTTTTTAATTTCTCTCAAGGAACACATTTTTGTATGCAGTTTCTCCCAGTACAATGCATTTCTGCATGTTATTTTCCCTAATATATTCTTTTTCATGCACACTTTTTATCTAATATATGCATTTTTGTAAACAGTGTTCGGTGGGAGAAGTGAATCACTCAATTCTGATATGAGCAAATTTCGAAGAGTGGTTGTGTTTTGGTTCTGATATTGTTTCAGAAAGTGTAAAATTGATAAATTTGGCTTTAAATGAGAACTAAATCCAATTTCTTCCCATTCCTAACCTTGACCCATGGGCCATGCTGGCTGGGGCTGTTGGAGTCGAACATCATATAGAAGCCCACAGGTTAGCCACTCTTTCTCTACACATTTTTGTGGACCATAGTAAACACCCTCTACAGAGACCAATGTCTCTTCATGTCCTAAATTATTGTTCTCTTTATTGCTATGGATAATGACTCTGGAACACCCATAAAGTATGCCCAGACATCGTCAAAGCTGAAGGAAGTTGGACAGCTAAAAACTGCCAGAAAGATGTTTGCTTGGAAGGTGACCTAGTGTGGCCTCTTCTTCTAGTGTGGCTTTGCCATTTAAAGAACTAGATCTGTGAATGAAGATGCATCACATCTCTGAGGCAGCTCCCACCACAAGGCTGTAGGCCCCAGAGCCAGAGAAATTTTGACCATACTGCATTCTTTCGTCTTGAGGAACACAAGTATCTCCTCCATGGCTGATCAGAAAAGAAAATGGAAACATATGTCACTGTTCCCAACCTTTATTAAACAGCCCATTGCCCTTTGCTAACCTCCGTCCTAATGGATCCCATAATTCTCAGTTCTCACTATACTGGTAAGCAAGTAGACTTAGAGGACATGTTTCTGCCTGAGTCTTCTTCAACCATAGTGGAGTCGATTGGTGACTTGTGAGAGTGAAGCTATTCCTTTCGGCATGGGACTGTTTTTTTCTCTGCCTGAGGGGTTGCATTCACTACTGCATTGCCCCCCCTCTTCCTTCTGCCCATCTCTCCTAGTTGTCATGACATGTTTCTTGGCAGCCAGTCTCTCCCCACTCAGCAGCTGCCTAGCTCCACCCAGGGTCCATTTTGCACCTACTTCTTCTTATCCGTGTCTTCAGTGTGTTTGTATCAGGCACACGTGGCAACAAGTTCCTCCCGACTTGCCACCAATATATGGGATTTAATTCATGTGCATCATGCTGCTAGAACTCAGGGATATGGGATTCTTCATCATCCTCAGTCTGGAACTCATCATGAGACTCGCTGTCTGTGTCTTCTGCAGGGGACAGATTTCCTGCTCTGTAGCCTTTATTCCTTTGGTTGGGGAACGCATGCCTGATGGTGCGCACCTCATAGATGGGTTCAGAATCGGAGTCATCATGGTAACCGAACTGAGGTGCAGACCTGTATCTGTTGGGCTCACCATGATGCCCTCCAGCTTCTCTAATGGATGCTCTCTCAGTGGGCACACCTGCAAGAAAGGGCGAGACAGGTTAGACCAGAGGTTTTCAACACTTTTGAGTCCACGGCTCTCTTAACCAACTACACTGAGTGTTCCCCAGCCTCCCCTCCTCTCCTGTCCTCTGGGCAGCTGCTGCTGCTGTCCCTGGTCTCTGAGCTGCCCCCCACCCAAAAGAGAGGTGCCTCCCAGAGGCACCATTTGCCTACGGAGCCAATACCCAGGGCCACTGGCAGACTAAGGGGAGAGGGGGGCGGTCCGCTCTGGGTGCCATTCACTTGCCACGCACCCCTGGGACACGCACTACTCACCACGCACACCCCGGGACGTGCACCCCATGCCATGCACCCCCCCCCGATGAGCGCTATGTCCCCCATGGGCGGCACGCCACACCCCCTGGGATACGCGTCACACCCCCTGGGATGCACACCAGCCACGCCCCCAGATGTACACCACTCCCGGTGCCAGAGCAGGTAGCTTCGCCACTGCCCAGGGCTGCTGCAATAGACAGCTGTGGAAGCCTTTGGCAGGCAGAGATGCAAGAGAGCATCGGAGGAGGAAGGCAAGGAAAGAGGGACAGAGGCCAGTGTTGCCTGCGGCACCCCTGACCATCATCCAAGACACCCCAGAGTGCCACAGCACACTGTTTGAAAACCACTGGGTTAGATATATCAGTGCTAAACAAGGTCAGTAGGATCGGATATCACATCCATGAAACTGCAAGACTATCTTGTCTGTGTCTCTCTGCATAGCTTAAATCTGCTTTCCATAACATGGTAGCTGTGAGCACTGGGGCACCCACAGATACATCTGCCCCACATGGGACCTGAGGCTTTCTTTAAAAGTCCCATTCTCTACTTCTGAACCTTACCATTAATAAGAACAGATTTAAGCTCTCCATCCTCTTCAACTTCTACTCGCTCCTGTCCATCCTCAACAATCCTGGGAAGGAGAGAAATGCTGAATAAGTTACTCTGCCAGCAGAGGAGAAAGCCAAACTGCTTCTGGGTTAATCAAATCCAATTGGCCTCCCAAACCAGGGATGAGAAATGGGTACCCTCCAGATGATGCTGAACTGCAACTCCCACCACCAGCAACAACCATTGGCCATGTTGGCCGGGGCTGATGAGGATGGAGTCTAACAACATCTGGAGGGCCACTGATTCTCCATCCCTGCCCTATAAGCTGACAACTGGTTGTAGGAAGAAGTGAACCTTGGTGGGAGAGTCAGCTCCTTTCACATCTAAGAAAGTTTTGTGTGACTAAAAACCTGGCTACATATGTGATGTTACTTTTCCCAGATGTGGCCTAGAAGTAAAATGTCAATACTGTAAATACTGTTATCATTTATAAGTGTAATTTATAAGTTTATACTATATTTTATGTACCTTTTTAATTATTATTCTTTTATATTAAAATTAATTTCAATGTATGTAACACAGCTCTAAAATAAAAAGATTTTAATGTATGGCTAAATGGGTTGTACAAGAATTATGCATTAAAATGAAACAGGTACATTGCTTTTTTGTGTGTGTTTGTATGTCACACACACACATACACACACACACCATAAACATCCTGTCTTCAAGAACAGAAATCAAATCTGAACCTGGGTAGTTAATTAATATTCATATCATTGCCTCTCAGAAGTTGTTAAATATATCTCTCACTCCAAAAACAAGCAGTTGCATAGTATTTTTTTAAAACAACAACAACGCACATAATTAATATGGTAATGATGGTCAAAAGCAAGAATTACAACAGTGAAATGTCAGATTTGAATTCTGCACTCTCCTAATTCACAGGCCGGGTTTATACCACCCATAAGTCTGTAATGAGTGCTGGCTCCGGGTTCTGGTGACCCCTTGGGCAAGGGGCCCTCAGTGAGCCCCTCTCCTCACCAAGGCACTGTTGCCCACTTACTTCTCCTCTCTGGGCCCACCCTGATCATTTGTCCACAGCAGAGTTTCCAAAACTTGGCTCTCCAGTTGTTTTTTTAACTACAACTCCCATCATCTCTAGCTAGCAGGAACAGTGGTGGGAATTGTAGTCTAAAAACAGTTGGAGACCCAAGTATGGGAAACTGTGGTCAAGAGGAAGCTGCTGTTCCATCTCCTTGCTCCTGTCACAGCATACTTGTAGAGGGGCTAGTGAACAGGCTGCAATAGCAAGGAAGAGGAGCAGGCCTCAGTGGCTCCAGAGACTGGGCAATGGGCCCCCAGAAGGGATGTGGGCCTTGGCGGTAGCCCAATGACACCTGCCCTTGCTATGGCTTGCCCCTTCTCCTCCTGCTGCCACAACCCACAATAGATCTTCTTGTTTCCTTCCCTGAGCGCCAATGCTTGCCAGATTTTTATTTGTCCTATTCAAGTACCTTCAAGAACAGACTACACATGGATACATGTCAAGTTGCTGTTCAAGGCACAGGAACAGTTCTAGCGAGGAAACTGGTCACCCTAAGGAAACCATGTGACTTAGTGAGTGAAAGCTACAATGGTTCAGTCTTGGCTGTCCACTAGTCCACCCTCACCTTTTGGTTGTGATCTGTTTGCCGTTGACGAAATTAGTTGATGAAGAGTAGAAGCAGAACCCATTTCCTCCACCAGCACATGCACCAAATGGCATTGCGTCTCCTGAAAATCAAGATGGCAACATCAGGCCTCAAGTACTTGAAATGAAAGCCAAGAGATACACAGGTAGGAACACAGTAGATACTTCAGTGGACCTTCAGCTCTCCTGGGCCTGGCTTTTGGAGTAGTTTTCCCATCAGGCAGTTTGAGATGGCTTGGAAAACATCCAGGAGAGGAAGAACCATAGAAAAGGTGAACCTTCCATTCTGTTACAGATAGGTAGCCGTGTTGGTCTGTCATAGTCAAAACAAAAAAAATTCCTTCCAGTAGCACCTTAAAGACCAACTAAGTTAGTTCTTGGTATGAGCTTTCATGTGCATGCACACTTCTTCAGATACCATGCACACTTCGTGTGCATGCACACTTCTTCAGGTATCTGAAGAAGTGTGCATGCACACGAAAGCTCATACCAAGAACTAACTTAGTTGGTCTTTAAGGTGCTACTGGAAGGAATTTTTTTTGTTCTTCCATCCTGGTAACTGCTGCATAGGGGCAAGACCCACTGGTGTTGCTGAGGCCAATAGGCCAAGTGTATGTTCATTTCCTCGAATAAAGAGTCAACTTCACTGAAAACAGACATCTGATTATTTTAGTGGTGACCTGCCTCTGTCTCCAGCCTTGACAGCTGGTTACTTGGAGTGAGATTTTTATTTTGCCTGGTTCTACCATGTGTGTCTTGGCTTTCTTTCTTGACTCACCTGAAACTATTTCTCCAGAAACACCTCTTATATAGCGCCCTTTCTTTCCTTGTGGCAGGTTGTAGGCCAGAGAGATTATGTGAGTTGACAGGCAGGGAGTTAGACCAATTGACTGTTAGGTACCTTCCAGTCCTCTGAGAGGAATCACCACTTACCAAAGAAAGGGTCCCGTCCTCCAAAGAAGTCCCTGAAGACATCATGGGCACTGCGGAAGTGGAACATATAATCAGGGCTCATGTTGGTCCTAGATGATGCCCCAGGTCTACCTGAAAAAGTTAAAAGGAAAGATATGTCAAAGCCAGGTATTCTGGATATTTGATGAGGTGATGGGGTGTGGGACACAGGGCCTGGAAGTTGTCAAAATAGAAATTCCTTTCCCCGTAGCTAGGTGCCCTGGAACCAGAATGCAAAAGCCAAGAAGGATGAAGATTGTTATAGGGCATTGCTGTATACAACCCCCTTTGAACCACAGCAGATGAGCTCACCATGAGCAAGTACGGTCAGGACAGTTTAATGTTGGGGTGGTGAACTTGTGTCCCTTCAGATGTTGCTGAACTACAACTCCCATAATCCCTGACCATATTTACTAGGGGCGATGGTAACTGGAGTCTAACCAAGGGCTACAGGTTACCCACCCCTGATTTATAGAAACACAAAGTAAGGGTGCAATCCAACCAATGCTAATTTCAGTGGGAGAGAATGAATCACATGCTTTGATCTCCTACTGAACAATAGGATTCCAAAATTGTGCCCCAGGTATGTAAGCACTGGGCTTCTGAATAGACCCAATGTTCTGGGTGGAACCAGAGACAAATATATTCAAAGCTGAATCTAGTACTATACTGTAAAGATTTGCTCATAGTCATCTAAATTCCAATTCAGAAACTAAAGGAGCAGAACTTCCACTGACATTATTTGACATTTGTCCCCAGTACTAAAACGGCAAATGTTTGGGTAAAATGCCTTATCTATTCTTTACACATTGCACGTTCTGGATATCACTCTGCTAATCCTGGGGCCAAATATAAGTGGTAGCTTTTAATTGCCCTGTGACTGACCAATGTCCACCCCAAATGAGACTGGGTAGAGATCTTTCACCCTCACCCTGCAGCAAGTTCTTACCACACTGATAGTTTCATTTTCTCTTTACAAGAATACCAGGTGTAATCTACATGTTGAGTGAAGTTGTGTGACCATTTCCTCCATTTTTTTCTTCCTTAACCCAAAGCAATCTGGGACGAATGGCACTTGGAGTGAGAGAGGCTATTTTGCCCTTTCCTCTTCTGTTATTTACCAGCTCAAAATCACACACACACATAATACAGACTTCTTTTTGCCATGAGGAAAAAGGCACAAGAACCTTACAGTAATCTCTCCTCAGACACAATCTATCCCAGGTTGCTTTAAAGTGAGTAAATAAATTTATACCATTTTTATCCCACTCTTCCTCCCAAAGGTGTCCTGGGCAGCAAACAACAAAACATTAAAAACAATAGTATTTTTTAAAAAATATAAAACCAAAACATTCCCACAGCTAACTTTCACAGTTACCAACACACAATATCTTTTACAAAGGAAAGAACCGTGGAACTAGGTTAAATGTGTTGCTTGAGTCATCTTATCTTCTGCGACAGAGAAGATTTTTCCTGGACTGTCTCTCACTTACCTCTTCCCAGTAGCCCATCCTTACCCCAGCGGTCATAGATGTCACGTTTGTTCTCTGAAAGGGAGAAAGAATAAGAAGTCAACCAACCCACCATCCGATCTCAGGGACAGTGGTTTCTAACAGCAGTCTGGCATGCCATGCTGGATCTTGAATAACAGGTGCATCATCTGGAAGCGGAAACCACTGTAGGCGCATCTAGGCTGTCAGCATTTCACAGGAGGGATTCAAGCACATACGAGAACTTTAGGTTTGTGTGATTAAAAAAGATGAAAGGGCTCTATCGCTCTACCAGCACAACAAATCCACTTGAGAAAACCCCCGACTTTTTGCAGTTAGGAAAGTGATGTGGAATTGCATTGAAAAGCATGAGATGAACAAAGGATGAATGGACAGGTGTATCAAATGATGAATGGGCAGAATTGTCATATAACTGTCCCATAAACAAATTGGAACAAATGCTCAATAAAGACCAGACATAGTCTAACCCCTGTGTAAGCTTTGTGCAAGCAAATCTGGAGGGATGCTCAATAAATAGTCCATTTGGAGGAGCCCTGCTTCTGTCAGTGTTATTCCCAGGATAGCATATAGTTTGAAACTTGAAAATGCATCTTTGCCACAAAATAGCCAGGAGAGATTAACCATGGCAAAATAGATTATGCCACTAGGTAATGGTATATTGAACAGGGTCGCCAGGCTATAGAGCATGTGATAACCAACCACCACCTAAGCCCAGAGGATTTTAGCATCAACTGAGGATATTCAATGCAGCAATCAGGTCCTTGGTGAATTATTGTCACTTTAAGGTACAGGTGGAAAATACCAGCTTCCTTGAAATGAACAAGAGATACTATCAGAGTCAGATTAAATGGTGGAATTAGTTAAATTCAACCTTTTACTGCAGAGAAGACATTTTCAGCCAGCAGTGTGTCAAGTCTCTAAGAGAGACCAATAAAGAGGGGGGGGCACACTGCTCACATACAATTTCTGAAACAATGGCCACCACAGCATGGGGGCAGCCCAATGCATGAAATCACACAAAGTCTTTTAGGGGGGCGTGCCTGTGCATGTATAAGGTAGCATTAAGGACCTACATGAATGTGCCAAGGATAATGAGTGAGGAAAGGCCTATAGTTAATGGGGTCTGCCTGTCTGTGTTAGCATTTTGCATGTAACAGGTGCCAGAATATACTGCAAACCTTTGATACAGTTTGCACATCTTTTGAGCCTTTTTGTGTCCTTTTCTTCCAGGTCTCTCCTTTAAATGATGCACTGAGGGGGCTTATCTACACTTACCTTTCTTTCGCTCTTTCCAGGCATGGTCCATGCTTTAAAGCTTCGTGTCTGAGCACCCTCCTTTTTTTTTTTTTCTTCTTCTCTGAATCCACTCTTTAAAGCTCAATCGGAGCAAACAGCAATCTGCTTAAAACCCAAATTGATGTTTGCTCCAACTGAGTGCTAAAGAGCAGGTTTTTGTGAGGAAAGCTCTGGGGTGGGGAAGCCCCCACAAATTGCTACACTTAGTCCCCAGTAGGTGCAGAAGTGTCAAGTGGTTTTGCTTTCCCATTTTGGCATCCAAGTCATCAAATGAATTTGCTTGGATTTCTTGTTTTAAGCAAACTCCCAATCTTTGTTCTACCACATACTTGCATAGGAAACATGCAACTGGTAAAGCTTTGATCAACAGGAGGAGAAGTGCTGCACAAGAGGCAGTGATGAGAGAGGGTTGGTGAGAGGTTGAATACTTACTGTCTGAAAGTACTTGATAGGCTTCTGAAATCTCCTTGAATCTCTGTTCTGCAAATTGCTTGTTTTCTGTGTTTTTATCTGGGTGCCACTTTAGAGCTTTCTTCCTGTATCTTTATGGTCCCCCAGAAAACACAATGGATGATAAAAGTCAGTATCCCTGTGACCATTTCTACAACTACAGATTTGTGTATGGTTAGCCATATTTTTCCTGGCACCAGGGCAAGGAATGGAGCAGACTCCTGTCCCTAGTCTCCATTTCTTCCAGAAGCAAAACAGACTTCGACTTTCCCTCAGCAAGCTTCTCATTACTTCATGGCATGCTCTATGGCCATCCAAACCATACCGGTCTGTCTCAGCTTATGTGAGGGAGTCTTTTATGAAACTCCCATATAGATGGCACCAGACACCAGGGCAAATTGCCCACATGACATCACAATCTTCTCAGAATTGTTGTGGGGAAAGAGACACCTTTTCGCATCTATGCTAAGACTTCCTACAGGTATTCAAATTCTGATGTGTCAAGAAATGACCAAAAAAGTCAGCTATCCCATTCCAACGTCACCACAGATTCTGTGGGACGATCAGCTGAAAGAGTTCAACTCTCAGGAACTCTTGACATGGATCTTGGTGGCTGCCAGAACTTAATTGCCCCCCAAATGAAAAACCTTAAGGGTCTTGTGTTAGCTGGGGGGGGAGGACCCTCATAAATTACATGTTGGCAAATGCTTGGAGGATCCTGAAAAAATTATATGCTGTTTGACGGAGTTTTATTATATATACAAAATACAGACACACTAAAAAAAACAAAAACCTGCCCTCAGCAAGCCTCTCATACAAGAGGAGTCAGGGAACCAGCCCGATTATCAGACAGTGAGGCAACCTAATAATATAACCGTCCAGCAGTAGATTCTGTAGTACAAGGGTAGCAAAATATGAATATTCGGTGGTATTATTGTTTCTTGTGGTAATATATTAAGAAGCATGGTTTCCAAATGCATGTTTGGGCTAAGGAATTCAGCAGAGTGAAGTAGCTGCTTCATGTAGAAAATGCAGGCTTGGGTGGTATGAAGAGTGGTGGCAAGGTTTTGGAGGACTGAGGTGTGCCAGGAACTGAACCCTGGCATAAGGTTTGAGCCCTGACATTGGAATAGGTTCTGAGACTAAACCCTAGTGAGCCTTGTATCAAATTTTCATGGTGAGAGATAGAACCAGGGTACTAGTGCTATTGCCTAATTAAAGGAACTCTCAGCCTATTCAGGTGAGGTACGTGAACATTGCAGTAGGCATCCTTTTAGAAAAGGCCCATTATTCTTTGTGTAAGAGAATCCCAGAACAATGGAATCTGGTCATCCAGTCCAACATTCTGCTCAGTAAAGGATTTGCAATGCAGGAAGGCGAATCTTTCTTTCATGGAGGTTGAAATTTACAGTGTGTTGTTGTTTTTTTAAGTTGTGTTTTTTAAAAAAATTCTGCTTCTTTTTTTGGGGGGGGGACTGCTGCTTCATTTAGCAGGGCATCCTTTTCATCCATCATTTTTGTTGCTGCTGCTGTTGATTTGATCTAGCTGATTAATCAGTTAAATGTTGCAACCTCCCCTAGACGATGCCTAAACAGATGCCGGATCTCTAGAATAAAAAAATAACCAGCACCTATCGTGCTAGAGCCCAACCATCTCTTCCTTCCTTGACACCAAAAGTATAGCAAGAGATGAATGGTAATTTAATAACTACCCTCCAGACCCCATATTGGCTGAGAGCCTGAGAGGGCAACATCTCTCTTAAGAACATGGAAGATGGTAATGGGGTGGACATGGGGAAGAGGCACTTACGCTTTTTTAATGTCATCCAAGGAAGCATTCTGGGGGAGACCCAGAGCTTCATAGTACTCGACCATGGTGGATTGATGTTTCCAGCAGAACCAGTGAGCAGGATGTAAACACAGAAAAAGCAGCCAGGTGTTGATTATTGTCTCTGGGTGTCAACCAATGTCTTTGGGTTCTCAACTGAGGTTAGAGGTGGTCATGGCCATCCACCCGGCTGGGTAACCCCATGCGGAGTAGCAAAAGGCAGTGGTGTGGACAGTTGACCCTACGGCATATGGAAGAGAACTTATACCAGCGGGATGTACATTAGCATCTTCCAAATCACAAAGAAAAGGCAGTTGTGGAGGAAGGAGAGCTACGTATTTTTATACATTTTCCTTGACTCATATAAAGCCATACTGCCTTTATATAAGCTGAAGTAGCAAAACTACAAGCATTAGAGTTTTTAGCTGTTGAACTCTAGTTTGTCTCTCCCCCCTCCTTAGTTTGTGTTATCTTGGTAGCCTTACCTCCATAGACTTAAATGTGTAGTAAAATGCCAGTAGCTATGCAGGGAAGGGCCACAGCTCAGTGGTCCAGCCTGTGCTTTTCATGTGGAAAGTTCAATCCCAGGCATCTCCAGGTAGGCCTGAGAATGTCCTCTTTCTGAAACCCTGCTCTGTTGCTGCCAGTCAGTGTACACAACAGGGAGCTAGATGGACTATAGTTCTGACTCAGTAAAAGGCAGTTTCCTATGTTCCCAGAGGTTTTGCTCCTGTGTGAAAGCTGGTTGATCTATTCCTGTTAGTGTAACTATCACCCGTTTCAGAAAATTCCATTGCTGTGAACTATAAGAGGCTGGCACTGTGAAAAGTTTAACCTGGAGCAGGGAAGGGGGAACCTGGAGCCCTTTAGTTGCTGGACTCCAGGGCTATCAGCTGTCATCAGCATGGTCAAACAGTTAGGGATGATGGGAGTTAAAGTCATACAATATCTGAAGTGCCACACAGGTTATCCACCCCAGTTCCAGAATTTAGAGATGTATGTGTGGTTCTAACCGGTACAACTCGCTATGTAAGCTGAAACAGGAAAAAAAAAACTGCCAGGCAGCATCAGAACCTCATAGCCCCATGAGATTTGTCTTTGCCAAGGAACAGTATCAAGGGCCCCAGAAGAATGGAAAGACTCCCTCTTGGCAAGTGTAAAAGAACATTCTTTGTTTAAGGACAGCGTCACCGCTTCACTACCAGTTTCCTTTTTCTCACAGTGGCCTACCCGCTGTAAATCCCCAACCCATCCGCAACCTGACCAGGCCTACCTTATTGTGAAAGGACGAACTGTCCTGGCTGCATGGTGGGCACAGTTCTAAGGTCTTGCAGGTGTCCGTTCACACCTGCACAGGCCCAGTTGCTGCCAGATAGGAAGGGACAGGGAAAGGAACTCTGCAGCAGCCTAGCATCCAATTCCGTTGCTGATTAACAGCAGCAGCCAATGGGAGGCTCCAGCCAATTATGATGTCATCTCTTTGTATTTTTCACTTGGGAGATTATAAAATTAGCCACACATGGGACGGACGGAGGAGGAAGAAAGAGAAGGATGCCCTTGGCCCATGTTGCTGATCTTGCATAATTTTGATATCCATAATTATGAACTATTATATCCATAATACTTATTCCCCCCACTCATGCCTGAAAGGCACTGGCAGGCAACAGAAGTACTTCCAAGTGATGCTAATCATGAGGACTGAAGCAAAGCTTCATAGAGTGGGTGCTATTGTATAACAGCAGGAGAAGATGGTGCTACTCCCTTGCCAATTTCTCTAGGAAACATCTGCACAATCCACCTGCTACATGTCATCATGAATTTCAACACTGCCGCCCCATTGTCACCCTCCATTAGGGTTGTTGGGTTCCAGTTTCAAGTTTCAGAGCATTAGGTGTCTTCTGGGGCATCCAGAAACAGAACCTTCCCTCTAATAAAAGCTGCAGGGGAGATGGTGGTTCAAATCAGAGTGACGACTACGATGGGAGAGTGGAGCGTAGTCTTCCCTGCCTGCAATCTTTTTCAATGAAAGTAGAGACACAGGCAGCTGCACACCCAGCTGCTATTTGCTCCAATCAGGGAAACATACAGGTGCTATACCAGGTGGCAGGGGTGCGGTGAGGGAAATTTTCTTTAGAAAAACTGCATGAGGAGAAAATATTGTTAGCAGTTAGTGAGGGAGCAGGGGTCCCCCATATCCCTGGGTGCCAGATTCCCCCCTCTAGATTATTGGGTGCTGGGGTGTAATCAGAGCTGACAGGCTGAGCTTGCTTTTTTGACAGACAGAGGGGCAGAGGGAGATGGTGGTCCTGCCATTAAGCCATCTACAAGAGACACAGGTAACTGAGGGGGAGGTTGTCAGGGCAACATGAGCATGGTGTCACACAGGAAAATTGTCCCCTTTTAAAACTAGGCTTGGAAAAGCAGGGAGAAGGGGAGCAGTTGGTTGGCAAAGAGAAGGAGAAGCAGGAAATAGGTAGAACTCCATGCAGAGGCTGAAAGAGAACCATTCTGGCAGGCTGGGACAGAGGCATGGGAATGGTTTGCAGGATTCCTTAGGCTCCAACGCTGCTCTGCTGTAGGGAACAAAACCCTCTTGAGATGTGAATGCTCTAAACTCTGCACTCCCTCCATTGAACGCTTCCGGTGTAAATATGTGTAGAATAAACAATATTTGTTAAAGATAGAACAGACTCCTACACACCTTGATTCCCTGGAATCTTGCTACCTGCTGCTCAGCAGAGATTGGGGGTCGATATTGTAACAATATGTGTGTTTTTCTCCTTTTTAACTGCCCAACCAGCTGCTGTGAATTTCTTTAAACAGGGAGAGGGAGAGAGATCCCACATCTTTCACATCACATATAGTTTGACTCTTTGGAATCTCCAAGGCAAAGAGTAAAATCTCAGGCTGAGGCTCCAGCACACAAACAGGGATGGGCTATTTTCTGCTTTTTGAGAGATTTTTCTGTTACCACCTACCCACGACCCATGTTTATCAGGTTCTGTGCATCTACACCCACAGCAGAATCAAGCAGCAGTCTCAGAGGTGGGAAAGTGGACTGAACCACCTCAGAATGCAGGTGGGGTGCCATTTTTAATGGTTTACCATGTTTGAAAATGAACACCACAGTGCCCTTCATGTAGAAACTAAACTGTTTTATCAATGAGTCTGGTTCTAATTCTGTCTGCTTCCTGCTGTCTTCATTTTCTTATTTCAGGAAGCTTTCCCCCACCCACCTTTAGTTGAAGTACTACAGCGGCTCAGACCCCAGTATCTCAAAGACCACTTCTCCCCATATGAACTGACCTGGACCCTGCAGTTGTCATCCTTCTGTGGGAAATCCAGAGGGTGGCAACATGAGAATGGGCAAGTAGTTCAGAGAAAGCTCAGAAAATCCCAACCACTGTGTGATATACCCAACACCTAATATAGGATCCATAGTTGTGTTCATGGTACAGAATGTGGTACAGAACCCCTGCTGTTCCAATGTCAGAAACAATGAGGTGTGCAGGGCATCCAGCGGTTACACCAGTGGTTTTCATCCCATAATAGAACCACAAATCATTACATTACATTACATTACATCCACCCCACCCCCACTTATCTATATTCCAAACCTTTGCTTTCAATCTTTGACAGTAAACAGAAAATGCTTTTAATTTTGAAACAGAAATGGCCTCTAATGCCAGCAAGCTATGCCAGCGAAGTGTCCAATGAGCTGCAGATGTGGTCCATTTACAAACTTTTTTTCCAAATTGCAACACTTGGGATTTGCTGGCTCGCTCACAATCTGGAACATAGCACCACCTGTCGGCAGTAGCTTCCAGGACCTTGCAGGCTAGTCTCAAGCAGCTTCTATGTCCTTGGCTTTTAAATGAAATTACAGCAGAACACAACCTGGAAAATTTTTCACTTCCACCCTTTATTATGCATCTCTCCAGCTTCCGGGGATTTATAAGGTTCTCCTTGGTCTAGGAGTTATAGGAGCAGCTGGAAGGGGAGGTCAGGGGAGAGGAGAAACTGCCCCTGCCAGGGATCCTATTTACTCTGCCCAGGAGCCTGCTGGAGATATCTGGGAGATGAGGTGTCATTCCCCCTCCTGTCCAGTAGGCTCCTCTTGGGATGTGTGCATGGATTGCTCTGCCGACGCATGGATTCCTGTCCCCTCTGGGCCAGTTGGAATGGTCTACAAATATATGGTTTCCACACAGGAAAGGGTTGCCTCCACTAGGCAGCTGCCTCACCCCTCTCTGAGGCGGGTTGTTTATGTTTGGGAGCTGGCTTATACTGCTTGCCCACTTGTCTCCTTCTGAAACTGGCTCTTTGGAAGGCTGGTGCCCTCTGCACAAAAGCTTCCTTGTTCCGTCCAGGAATTTCCTCATGCCTCCCAGAAGCCCTTCCGAGGCCTCCACTGACTGCTTCCTGGCTCCATTAGGTCCCTGGCCCTGCTCCTCAGAAGGCACAGCTGGCGGAGTACTTCCAGTTGTCACCCTAAGGGAGGCAGGTGATGCTTCATTGAGACCCGAAGACGGCCTGCTTCCAGAAGCCAACCTGTAGCCAGCAGGTCCTTGAGCATCTTCAGCATCTCCAGAAGATGGATCCAGAGGGTCGTGGGACTCACTGCATCTGGGATGTGAGATGCAGTCCCTCTGAGGGTTATTCCAACCCTCAAATTCAGGAGTCGGGGCATCTTTAAGCTGCGATTCATTCTGCTGCAGGGGCCACTCATACACAGGTGAGCACTCGCATTCATACGGAGACTCGTACACTGGGGAGTCCTTGCAGGTATAGTGCGTTTCGTATATTGGAGGGGTATCGTAGCCGTATTGCCATTCATACACAGAAGAGTTGTCAAACCTGTACTGAGACTTTGGTCCAGAGGTCTCATATATGCACGGCGAATCAGATGGAGAGATGTCATCATCGTACTGTGACTCATAAATGGGGGAGTATCCGCAGCTATACCGAGGGTCATATATGGTAGAAAACTCATATGCATTTTGAGACTCGTACACAGGAGAGGCTCCATTTTTCTTCACAGGAGATGAGCATCTGGAAGGCATCTCGTAAGCTGTGTAAGAGCTGCATCCATACTGCTCTTCATACGTGGAAGACGAAGGATAGGCTGAAGGCACCTCATCTTTCACCACCTCATAGACTGCACATGGGTTCTTCCACCTTTCGTAGGACTCAAATCCCCCAAGAGCCTCATCATCTTCATCATACCCCGGCCCCAATCCATTTCCATCATTCTCCTTGTATTCTGGGACCGACTCATACTCCGTCTGCATTTCACTGCCCACTGCTTCTATGTTGTTGCTTTCGTTTTCACCTACAATGACCACAGAAACAAAAAACGTTGGGTTATGGAAAACGATCAAGGTCCCAAATAAAGAAGAATGGCAACTTAAGCTGACGGAATATGCACAGCTTGCAGACTTAACATATAGACTAAGAGAACAAGAAGAACATACGGTTAGAGAAGATTGAAAAATGTTTATTGAATATATGGGGGGAACTGTGTACACTTGAAAATGCTGGCAGCATTAAGATAAATTCAACAGTGTAAATAAATTTTGATGGATGTAAAAATGGAATACTGAATGGTTTAGTTTATGTAAAATATGCAGGGATTTATGATATGCAGAATGAACCATGGAAAGAGAAGAAGGGAAGTCACTGATATTTTAAGGATGTTTAAATGAGTATTCTAAATTGTAAAACAGAAAATCTAATAAAAATTATATATATATATGTAAAAACCCGTTGGGTTATTTCTTTTTAATAAGCAATTCATTTCCCAAGACAAGGTTCAGCACTCCTAATACTTTCACCAATAGAAAGGGCACCGCAGGTGGGGAACAAATTTCCATCCAGACCAGGGATGGTTAGGCTGTAGAGCTCCAGGTGTTGTTGGACTACAACTCCCACCATCCATGCTGGCTGGGACTGGTGAAGGTTGAAATCCGACAACCTCTGGAGAGCCACAGGTTAATAACCTCTGAAGTAGACAAGTCCCCAGCACTAGGAAGTAAAAGAGCCTGCTTTTTTAATTCATTCATTCCCATATCAAGAAAGAGGCTTACTGATGCTGAGGTACTTAACCAAAGAGTTAGAAGAACTCAGTCATGGTGGGCGAACACCGGAATGGTTTCCAGTCACAGAATTCTTGCCCCATACATAGTTTTGACATAACTTTTTCATAAGACCAGTATCTGCTCTAATGACCCATCATTATTTCTAAGATGAACCGAGAACGTATCAGACAGCGAGCCACAGCCTTTCCCAACCTGCTACCCTCCAGATGTTACTGGACTGCAATTCCCATCAGCACCAGACAACATAGCCAACAGTCAGAGATTACAGGTATCATGGGCCCCGTGC